TTGATGAAATTTCCATTTATACATATTTTATTGAGAGTTTTTCTCATGAATGAGTGTTGATCTCTGTCAAATGCTTTTTCTGCATCTAAAAGGATCATGTGATTTTAACGTGGTGTATCGCATTAGTTGATTTGTATATGTTAAACCAAACTTGTATCCTAGGAATAAATCTCACTTGGTCATAGTGTATAACCTTTTTGATGATGTTGTTGAATTCAGTTTGCTAGATTTTACTGAGGATTTTTGCATCTATGTTCATCAGATATATTGGCCTATAGTTTTCTTTTCTTATGGTGTATTTATCTGGCTTTGGTATCAGGATAATGCTAGCCTCATAAAATGAGTTTGGAAATATTCTCTCTACTTCTGTTTTTTGGAAGAACTTAAGAAGGATTGGTATTCATTCTTCTTTGAATGTTTTGGTAGAATTCATCTGTGGAGCCACCTGGTTCTGGGCTTTTCTTTTTGGGGAAGTTTTTGATTACTACTTCAATCTCCTTATTTGTTATTGGTCTGTTCAAGCTTTCTATTTCTTCTTAATTTAGTCTTGGTAGGTTGCATTTCTAGAAATTTATGCATTTCTTATAGGTTATCCAGTTTGCATATGATTGTTCATAATAGTGTCACATGATCCTTTTTATTTCTGAAGCATCTGTTATAATGTCTCATCTTTCATTTCTGATTTTATTTGAATCTTCTCTCTTTTTTCTTTAGTCTAGCTAAGGGTTTGTCAATTTTGTTTACTTTTTTTCAAAAAAAACTTTTAGTTTTGTTGATTTTTCTTCTATTGTTTTTCTACTCTCTATTTGATTCATTTTTGCTCTAATTTTTATTATTTCTTTTCTTCCGCTAACTTTGGGTTAGTTTGTTCTTCTTTTCTAGTTCCTTGAGATATAAAGTTAAGTTGTTTATTTGACATCTTTCTTCTTTTTTAATGTAGGCATTTACCTCTCTAAACTTCCCTGAGTACTGCTTTTGCTGCATCCCATAAGTTTTGGTAATTTGTGTTTTGTTTGATTTTTCACAAAATACATTTTAAATTCCCTTTTGATTTCTTCTTTGACCCAGTGGTTGTTTAAGAGTGTATTATTTAGTTTCCACATATTTGTGAATTTTCCCATTTCTTGCTTTCACTCATTTCTTGTTTCATTTCAGAAAAGATATATAATATCTATCCTCTTAAATTTGTTAAGACTCGTTTTGTGACCTAACATGTGATCTATCATAGAGAATGTTCATGTGCCCTTGAGAAGAATGTGTATTCTTCTACTGTTGGTGAAAAGTCATGTATATGTCTATTAGGTCTATTTAGTCTATAGTGTTGCTCAAGTCCATTGTTTCCTTATCAATATTTCTGTTTGGATGGTCTAGCCATTATTGAATGTAGGAGTTGAGGTCTACAATTATTATATTGCTGTCAATTTCTCCTTTCAGATTTATTAAGATTTGTTTTATATATTTAAGTGCTCTGATATTGGGTGCATATATATTTACAATTGTTGCATTTTCCTGTTGAATTGACCCTTTAATCATTACATAATGACCTTTGTCTCTAAAGACAGTTTTTGACTTAAAATCTACTTTACTAAGAAGTTTCATACTTTGTACTCTTGTACTTCTGTTTAGTGTTCTTTCATCTCTACTTGAAAAGCTTCCTATAGCGTAGTAGGGAGCAACCAGAGAGAGCTAATTCCAGCAGAATTCTTTTAAAAGGCAACTGTGACCCAAGACATAAAAGAATTCATCTCAATTTGCTCATCAAAGAAAATGTGGCCAGCCAAATTAATTCTATGATATTGAATGTACTAAACTAAAAAAAAAAATTAAAAAGAAAAGATCATATTGAGGAGCCTGAGGATAGTGCCAATATAAAATAGTAGAGAAGCAGGTTGGAGAATGAAGACAAAAGGCCTTTTGCTTGGCTCAGCAGAACTTGTTTATTCTCTCTGAAACCACTACCACATTGGCTAATAATAAAACACCAGTGGTGGCTCTTGTACATCCCCTGCCTGCTTCTCTACTCTCAGAAATGTGCTAAAGTTTGGGTGCTCAGAGCTTCTTTATTTAAGGACAATGTGGCAATTGCTGCAACCCTATGGTAGTGAAGTAGGGCCCAGTGCTTGGCCACAAGTGCATTTTAGATAAGAGAGGAGCTGTTCTATCACTTCTCAGCAGTAATTCCTTACAGTGATAAACAAGTGGAGAAATAGGTCGGGGCTCTGACAAGAGGACAAGTCTTCACAGTGATGTAAGGGCCAATGTAAAGCACATGATTGTGTTATGGGTTTAATTATATCCCCCCGAAAGGGTATGTTGAAGTCCCACATACCTCAGAATGTGACCTTATTTGGAAATAAGGTCTTTCACAGAGGCATTCAAATTAAAATAAGGTTATTAGGGTGGGCCCTAATACAATATGACTGGTATCTTTATAAAAATGGGAAATTTGGACACATATAGAAGACGACGTATAGAGACACAGGAAGAAAATGGCCATGTGTCTAGAGTGATGTATCTACAAGCCAAGGAATATCACAGGTTGCTGGCAACCACCAGAAGCTAGAAGAGGTAATGAAGGACTCTCCCTTAAAGCTATCAGAGAACATGGCCCTGGTGACACCTTGATTTCAGACTTCTAGCCTCCAGAACTGTGAGAGAATTAATTTCTGTTGCTTTAAGTCATCCATATTTTGGCACTTTGTTAGGGCACTGTGTCCTCACATTCTATCTATCATCTCGAATATCACCTCGACTGGTGCTCCCTGTAGAAGCAGGATATTATGGGCTCCACGTTCTATTTGGTAAAATTCTATGTCCATACCTATCATTTTGTAAGGCTGGAGTTTCCTCAGGAAACTTTTTTCACCACTGTTGGCAAATGGAATTCCTCATTAGATTCTCCTAACGAGCAGCTGCTTATGAAAAGAATTCTGGACCAACAGGAGGGAGGAAAAGGCTGCAAATGCAGATGTAGGAGAATATTAATTCTACACAACAAAGCCATTTAGGAGGAACTTTATCAATATTTGGAGATGGAAACACAAATATAAAAAAAGAAATCCTCTTCTGTATGTGGTAACTTTAGAAAAATATCAGTTACCAAACTAAGCTTATTATCTTCCTTCCCCAAACCAGCTCCTCTGGGCTTTCTAAGTCTCAAAAATGGTATTGCATTCTCTTGATCAGTTAGTCTTAAACAGAGCTGAGGCTAGAGTGAGGCAAGTGAGCTGCATGGGGTGCAATATTTAAGGAGGTGCTAACCTAAAGGGTCAGTCTTGGTCTTGAAACTCCGCATCCAGTTAATCACCAACCCCAGTTCCACCTCCCTCCATGTCATCTCTCTTAGCTGCTCCTCTGCACACAGTAGGTATTTGACATGTTAGGCTGATACAAAAGATCGGGAAAGGTCAGTATTTCCTTTCTATTCTCACTGTAGCTACTTTAGTAGAGGCCTAGTCATTTGTCACCTGTTTGCTGTTAGTCACGTTACAATTGTCTCCTGTATTCTTCTAATTACCAGTATCAGTTGCCCTCATTGTGTTCGTGTGACTCTCTGAGATCTAAAGAATAAAGACCAAACTGCTTGGAGTTCAAGTTTATTCCTAGTGTGGTCTGGACACAGCTTTTCACCCTTGCCTGACATGACCTTTCCTACCCCAAGCACCTTACAGCCCAGTTCAGCTTATTACTCACTGCATATGCCATGCACTTCCATGTCTTAGCACCTTAGTTCATGTTCTTTTTTCATACTAGAATGAACTTTCTCTATTTGGAAAAAGCCAGATCAGGACCCAGCACCAAATTTCATCTCTCTGTTGCTCTAGTCTTGCGTCGCAGCACTTATTTCATGCTGCCTTTTATTTAGTTAGCATTTCCACGGAGCCATCTCCCATCTCCCCATCTTGGCTGTTGACACAGAGTCCAGTTGCCCCATGCTTTCCATAAGTGCTTATTGAACCTATCTATGTATAAAGCTGGTCAAAGGCAGCTTTTGTCATATAACTATTCCTTTTTCTCCTACTTCTTTTATTCTTTTCCATGCTACTACTTTCAGCCACTTCTACGTCATCATCCTTGACTTTTGACTCGAACGGTGAAATAAAATATGCAACTGGACTTTTACAAAAAGCAGCGAGCGATTATCAGAAGACTTATCTTGGTGATGGCAGGAACTGTCGTCTCTCCTATTCACGTCCCTATTCGCAGTGCTTGGTACACAGTAGATTCTCAATAAATAATTACCAAAAGAGTGAGTTTATAACAATTATAACTGTTTCATGCCAGTGTTGTGTTGCATATTATTATGATAAGTTTATGGAAGGATTTATATCACTTTCAGTTTTTTTTAACTATTCAAAATATCTGCATCAACCACACAGTATAATATGAAGAGTGTTTTCCAGTTTTACTACTCTTCAGTGATTTCTGTTAATAACTCAAAGCAGCCATGTGCCAGGTTGGGGTTGGACCACGTAGTCACGGAGACAGGAGAAAAGTGGGCACATGGTCTCAGCCTTTCCAGCATGTTCTCAGGAGATTTTGTCTCTTAGAACTTTTGCAATTTCTGGTAAGACCATGAGAAGAGAGGGAGAAAGTTTTACATTTAGTAACATTTATTTATGCATTCAGTATCAAGTACATAAGTGCAAATATCCAGAGTCCATAATTAAGTCCATTAGGAACTACAGAGAAAGTAATACAAATTTTAATAAAGTTAACATGCTGGTACTTTTTAGTTACCATACATGTAAATCAGCCCGTCAGTCCCACACAACAAAAGTACTGCATGTTTGTTTTGGATTTATTCATTTGTTTAATTATTTTAAGTTATACAAAACTGATTACCATAAGTACGGTCGACTGTTTTTATTTTTACGCTGTATGTGTTGGAAAAACACGAAAACATTGGTCTACAATTCTATATATTGTGATTAAAGAGTAACCCAACCAGCAACCCAAG